TATAGAAGCAATAGTTTGAAAACGGACTTGAGGGTCCAATGAAGTAATAGAAACAAAGTGACGATTAATGTCATCCAAATTGAGAGAGGCGCCATTTTCCGGAGAATTAGATTTATTAATTCCGACAGACTTGAGGAATTTCCACAAATCAGTGGGCGAAGAATTAGTTATTTTGTCATGAATGTAGCGGCGTTTAGCATTTCGTACCACCTGATTGCATCTGTTTCTTAGCGTTGTAAAAGCGATCCTTTTTAATCTTCTGGAAAGCCCGATCTCGCCGTGCCATTGCCACCTGTACCCCTTTAGTCATCCAGGAAGCAGGAGGACGCTTAATTTTTACGTAATGTACCGGAGCATGAATATTATACACATTCAGGATGTTATTATTTAGAAAGGATATTTTGTCATCGACATTAGAAGCTGCCACCAAAGGGCCAAAATCAATTGAAGATGCGTCTCTCCTGAGACTCTCAATATTTATTCTTGAAAAATTGCGTAACTGCAGAAAAATAGGTTTTTGTTTTGGAGGTTTGAGTTTATATGAAAAATAAATCAAGTCATGACGTGAGAAACAAGGAGCAGAGAGCTGCCCAAACTGAATCACGCGATCAGAAAAGGAAGTAATGATGAGGTCAATCAACGAATCATCAGTGTCAGTATTTCTATGAGTTGCCGCCAATGGGAGAATGCAGAGTTCGACTAATTAAATGATTGATCGAAGTTTTTGGGAGCAAGAAGTATTTTTTAACAAATCGGTGTTGAAATCACCCATTATCATGCAATGAATGTACTCAGAAATTAGTGGAGTGAATAAACAAATATTTATTATTATTATCATGGGGTATCTGTATAGTTTCTAATCTGGTTGGGTTCTATAAATATATACTTATAAATCTTGTTGGGCTGGATAAATATATAAAAGGAAAAAATAAATATACCATAATATATATTTGATATACTAACATAAATAAATAAATAATACATAAATAAATAAAAGCCCAACCAGATGGACGCCATCGACAGGGGAGACCAAACGGCCGAGGGTTAGGGGGAAAGGGAAAGAAACCGGCGAACGATGCGGGCGATGTCGAGGAGCACCGCCTTCTGCATTTGAGCTCGGAGCGGTCCGTCATGGAGTCCCAGTCGCCTCAGATGGCCCGAGATGCTGGCTGGGATTAACTCGATTGCCGACACGACTACAGGCATAATTTCGGTTGGCAAACCACCCCACATGTCGGTCACCTCGTGAGCCAGGTCCAGATATTTTGATTGCTTATCTGTTTCGGCTTTCACGAGGTTCTCGTCATACGGAATGGTAATGTCGACCAAAAATATCCTTGACTGTGCCTGATCCATCAGCACAAAATCAGGCTTATTCGCAAGAATAGTCCTGTCTGTGATGATGGCCCGGTCCCAGTAGTGCCTGGCGCGGTCACTTTCGAGCACGGGCTTCCGGCAAGTACTTGTAATACGGCACTTTCTGGTCCACGAGATCGTATTTCAGAGCGAGCTCCTGGTGTAGAGTTCTGGCTAAAGCGTTTTGGAATATGCTAGTTTGATATGGTCTCCACAATACTATGTTTACAAAAACCGCCTTGAGCGAATTCAAAAAATATTTGTTAATCATCTTAATTTTCGCTGTCGTAAAAAACTCGGTACTACATAGACAGTTGCACTGAGCACAATCTCTTATCTTTGGAACAACGGCGTGTTGGGCTTGACATGGCTTTTTTGTATGATATGATAAACAGTAATGTTGAATGTCCAAATCTTGTCTCAAGAATCTTCTTCCATACCCCAAAATACCGTACCCGCAACACAACCTTGTTACAAACTCCCCGGCACCATACAAATTACTGCCGAAACTCTGTTCTCTTGCGACTCGCTCGCACGTATAATGAACAGTTTGGACACATTGACATCTTTGCAAAATCTAATAGTGCCCACTGACGATACGTCCATTAATCCAAATGGAGTGGTAATCGTCCAAAATCGTACCGTGAATGGTAAAAACATATTCCATTTGGATGGATTTCATCCAGCTCTGGATTTCCAAATGGATTGAAATCCATGCTTCCAGTCCAAACGGACGTCATCCACGGCCGTACGTTAATGAAAAAACGTGCGCCACGCCAAATGAAAGCAGTCAGAACTATCAGTTAATGGGCGAACCGGCGTCCATTTGTTGGACGTTATTGTGTCATTTAATGTTTTGGTGTTGATGGTGGTAAATGTGCTCCGTTTGTCAAACATAAACTGTGTATTGGATTAAAAATATTTTTATTATGTAAACTATGAGCTGTGATATAGGTGACAAACGAGTACACAGTCCACATGATGTTGATACTGTAGCCCATAGACTAATTCTGTCATCGAATAAGAATCAAAATGTAAATGAATTGTCACCCCTGGTTCTTTACACTCAGCATATGAAACACAGCAGATTTAAGCTGCTATTTTATGCTATTTTGTGAGATCGTGGTCCTTCTTCGTTCGAGCCGACCCATTTGTGCTACAGCCATAATATATAATATCCACTATATGTTGATTTCTTTAATTTCTACCTCAGTCAACGATAGCCGTGGTAGCTCAGATGGTTAGCGCTCGCTGTTAATTTCACAGTATGCGAGCAAACCGGGTTCGGTCCCCGCCGGCACCAATAAAATTGTCAATTGCAATTTTAAGTGCTGATTTACCACGTGCTCGGCGGTGAAGGAAAACATCGTGAGGAAACCTGCATGTCTGAGTAATAAGAAAAAAAAATTCGAACACATGTGAAGTTCGCCAATACGCATTGGGGCAGCGCGGCGAACACTTCCTTGCCCTAATACCCTCTCTGAATTCAGAGGAGGCCAGCAGTGGGACACATGTAGGCTGTAACTGTACTTTAATTTACAACGATATTGCTCCACCATAATCTATACCATATCTAGAATGGCAGTGACAAATTGGCAGCACACAGTCCACCTGGTGGTGGGTGGCCCATAGACGTTTACACGTATCCTCAATTAAGAATCAAAATATAGATACGTTATCATTGAAGACTACGATGGATTGCTCCGTTTAGGTTTTTTGTCTTCTTAATGAAATACACGCTGCTGCATTCACCAGGAAAGTATTATTATCCATATTATTATTTATTTCCATTCCATACGACTGCCAAGTTCGAAGTGAAGCTATGCGTCCAAATGGAAGTATCGTCAATGGTACCGTATCTGGATAAGTTTTCATCTGGAGAGCATCCATTTGGATGTCTTCTAAATGGACGTATCGTCAGTGGGTACCTTAAGGTTTTGTTTAGGCATGAAATCATGAAAACCATTAAGGAGCATAGCAGTTGCAGTTAAAACCATGTATTCTCTTTTCTTTTTTTTATATGTTTTTTTTTCTGCCAGTATGATTAATCAAAATAAGTTATTTTATTTATACTTAATTACTTTTATTATGTTTGTATTATTTATGTTCGTATATATATATATATATATATATATATATATATATATATATATATATATAAAAATCTGTATATATGTGTATGTTTGTATATGCGTATGTGTGTATGTATATGCATTTATGTAATATATAATATCAATCTACCAGACCCTCCCGACCCGACCAGACCGCACGGGTACAAACCCGTGCTGTTTCTGAATTCTCTTAATCTTTCAGTTATGATCTTTTCCATGGCTTTACAGAGGATACTTGTCAAACTTATTGGTCTGTAATTACTAGGTCTCATCTTATCGCCGTTTTTATAAATAGGTACGACTGTAGCTTTCTTCCAATCAGCGGGTAAGCGTCCATCCTCCATGGATTTGTTCATAATGCTTGATATATGTTCGGCAAGCAATGATGAGCATCGCTTTAGTAATATAGATGGTATTCCATCAGGACCAGTAGCAGTAGCATCATCAAAGGTTAACAAGGTCTTTAGTACGATTTTGGCTGTAAATTTTACGTCATCAATTGAGTTTATTACCGTTTGCATATTTATGGAGGGAATTGGTCCATCTGGTTCTCTTACATAACTATTAACGAACTGATCAGCAAACAGCTCCGCGATTTTTTGTGGTTCATCTACAAGTTCTTGTGACTCGGTTTTAAGCATGTTAGGAATGGTAACTTTAGAATTAAGTTGTCTTCTAATGTATCCGTAGAAAGCTTTCGGTCCAGACTCTATGACGTTTGTTTCAAATTGAGCTCTTCTATATTTTGGCAGTTTAATAATTTTATGATTTATATTTCTAAATGTTCGGTACGAATCTTCTGTTTTCTTAATAATAATATATATATATATATATATATATATTTTTTTTTTTGAATCAAACTATTATTTAATAGATCTTTTTGTACATAGATCAAACAAAAAGATCTATTAAAACCCGCGTGAAGGAACATATAGCTAACGTGAAGCACCGACGCTCCGGGAAGTTTGCAGTCTGCGAACATGTTCAAGATCGTCCCCACCATTACATTAGATTTGATAAACCGCAAATCCTCGCAAAAGAACACCGATTCCTACCAAGGATGATACGCGAGGCTATTGAAATTAAAAAACATCCAAATTTCAATAGAGACGATGGATGGATGCTGCCAGCTGCTTGGGATCCTATAATTTACAAAATTAATCCCAAACCCAAACATACCACTGCAAGACTTCATGATACTATGAGCTCATTTTGCGTAAATCGGACCAAAAATTAATATTCAAAAACTGAAGGTAGCCGGACTAACTATGACATTGTGACGTCAAACATCTCAGTCCCCCCCCGTGACCATGGGTGCTGTAAAGCACCCGAAATGTCGGGATAATAAAAATGAATTAAAGTTGAATTAAACGCGATAAAATTCATAAATAATAGTTTTATTCAATGTGTAGTGTTCGCGTAAATTTAAGAAATCAATATATATATATTCCATAACTCTTTTTTCCGTTTTGCTAAATTCAAAATTTCCTTATTTATCCATGGTTCCTTATTTGATTTTTTTTGTGTGATTTTTTACACAATTTTCAAGTGATGTATGTTTTGATTTTTAAATGATAGCCACATTTCATCTACTTGGTTTTCAATTATGTTAAAGTTTTCTGCTAAATCTTTGTTAATTTTGCTATAGTCGGCTTTATAAAAATCAAAAATCTTTTTTATCGGCACTTTATTATCGTTATTAATTATCTGCATAGAAGCCAGTATGACCAAATGATCACTCTTTCCAATGGGCGGAATATACTTAATATCAGTTATTAAAGTTTCATCATTACACAGTCTAAGGTCTAATAGGGATTCTGCATTATTACGTTTCCTTGTGATTTGTGTTACAAGCTGATTGAGCTTACTGTTTGAATACATTGCTACAAAGCTTTCGCATAGCTTGTCATGTCTGGTTAAATTATCAAGAGGCCATTTTATATATGGTAAGTTGAAATCACCTGCATTAATCACTGTCTGCTTTGAGGCTACCTTTTCTATGGTGTTAAATAATATTTCATCAGCACTTGTTAAAACATTTGAGGGAGGACGATACACACAAGCTAAAAGTAAATCTAAAAATCCATAACGTATATCTAACCATAATGCCTCAACCAAAGAATTATAATATATTTTATTCACTTTTGATATAACAGGTACATTGTTAACGTCATGTGCAACATACATTGCTACTCCTCCCCCTTTTCTTTCTCTTCTGTCCAACCGGAAGAGGGTATATCTGTCATCAATTACAGAATGTAAATGAGTTTCTGATATCAAAATAAAAGCAGGTTTATGTGTATTAACTTCATGAAGAAATAAATCAAATTTTGCCATAATGGAAGCCAAATTCGTGTGTGGTGGATGTATGATGGCGCTACTTTGTCGAGTAGCACGTCCAGCCATGAGAAGTTTGGTGCCAATAATACGCCATACTGCCAGTGCAGCGCCGAAAAGAAATGAGTCCGTCTCGCAAAGGTCCCGGCTGGCTTCCAAATAGGTCACCAGCATTGGGTTAAGAGCCCGCACGACAGTCCGATTTCTCTTGCTAAGGGGTATGTGTGGAAGTCGCGGTCGATTTTCGAGAGGCATGCTGCGCGTTTCTAGCATCGACTCTTCCAATTTGCTCCTCATTTTCTCTAGTTCGTGGAAGACTATTCCATCATCGTCTGAATTAACCACAAATGGAATATTGACGGCAGCATCCACATATGCAGTTTATTATTATTATTATTATTTCGGGGTATCTATATAGTTTTCTCATCTGGTTGGGTTCCATAAATATATAATTGCGAACGAAAATGGTAAATATACATATATAACAATAAAATAAAATAAATACATAAAAAATACATACATAAATAAAAGCTCAACCATATGGAAGCCCTCGGCAGAGGAGACCAAACGGCCGAGGATTAGGGGGAAAGGGAAAGAAACCGGCGGACAATGCGGGTGATGTCGAGGAGCACCGCCTTCTGCATTTGAGCCCGGATCAGTCCGTCACGGAGTCCCAGTCGCCTTAGATGACACGAGAGGCTAACTGAGATTAGCCCATTCGCAGAGACGACTACAGGAATAATTTCGGTCGGCAAACCAACCCACATGTCGGTCACCTCGTGAGCCAGATCCAGATATTTTGATTGCTTATCAGTTTCGGCTTTCGTGAGGTTCTCGTCATACGGAATGGTAATATCGACCAAAAATATCCTTGACTGTGCCTGATCCATCAGCACAATATAAGGCTTATTTTCAAGAATAGTCCTGTCTGTGATAATGGCCCGGTCCCATTAGAGCCTGGCGCGGTCATTTTCGAGCACGGCTTCCGGCAAGTACTTGTAATACGGCAATTTCCGGTCCACGAGATCGTATTTCAGAGCGAGCTCCTGGTGTAGAATTCTGGATACTAGGTTGTGCCTGTGCAAGTACTCAGAGTTAGAAAGCGCCGAACAACCGGAGATGACATGCCTAAACGACTCACCGAGATGGCGACAAGCTCGACAGATGTCGATATTCGATTTATTTCGTCCATGATTGACGAAAAAAATTACTATGTGACGCTAGATGTCGTAATAATAAATTCAAATAATAAATTCAGCACGGATGGGAGATATCATAAGGGATATAGAATGAAGAGTAAACGCAGGAAATAGAGTAAATGGGGCTCTAGACTATTGTGGAAAGTCAGAATGTGTCAAAAAGGCACGGATGGAAATCCAGAATGCTGTGTTAGTCCCTACTTTAACGTATGGTAGTGAAAGTTAGGTGTGGCAGAAGAAGCTCGAGAGTAGAATAAACGCAGTAGAAATGCGGTTATTAAGGAGTATGTTAGGGCTGAATCTGAGTGACAGGGTAAGAAATTCTGTAATAAAAGAAGAGTGTGGTATGCAAGTTTATGCTGTGAAAATGATTAAGAAAGGAATGCTTCGGTGGTTTGGTCATATAAAAGGAATGAATGAGGAAAGTAAGTAAGGAAAGAGTTGTAACAAACCAAATTTATGTTGCAGAAGTGAACGGAAGAGTCAGAAAGAGACGTCCTAGGCGAACGTTTTATTTTCACATATGTATTTATTTAAAAATTGTCGCTTTCGTATCTACAAATATTTCAAAGCAGGATTGGTAAGAAACTACCAAATTCTGAATTGTATTTAACTCCGAGACAAACTTTGGGTTGGTAACACTGTCACTATACCAACAACGACAATCAGTACAGTACAGTACACTATAGATAAATAAATATTGTTTCGAGCTTAGGGTTTGTGACAGTAAAAACTGCCGATTGAATCACCAAAATTGACACTTTAATTACCCAACACCAATTACAACTTAGAACACACTAATGAATAATAAATAAATAATAAATAATCACACTAATAAATCAGAATGTTCACTTTAGTTCGCAATTAAATCTCTTCAAAGTATTCGCTTGATCGCCAATTCAATATTTACTCTGTCGCGGTCCTAACTGGCCTTATATAGGGCCTCTTCTAATAAAACACCTAGAATGTTCGAGTACATACCGCTCCCGACTGACTAGGTGTATAAAGTTCTAGTGTGGAATTATCTAGAAGGATTAATTCTGCCACTTGCTAATAGAGGGCGCTAGTAGTTACTAATGTATCCATTAATTATTATGGCGCGCAACAACATGTAGCTAGCTCATGAAAATACAATGTACTTCGTACAAAGTGGAACCAAGTGGAAAAATAACTTAAACATTACTTTGAAATTTTTCTTTACCCTCAGTCTCTTTTTCATTGCATGGTATTTTTTACTTACGAATGAAATATGATATTACATCCTGGATGCCACTCACTGTTGCAATCGCGCCCAATACATTTAATGACCATTTTACTAGTTTTGACCCTTGATTATTACAGAATTCAAAAATAAATTTACGAAATGAAAGTAAATATGGCGGATATTTGCAGTAAAAATTATTTGACAAATAGATTTTGGGCTGCCTTTAAACGGCTTCTAGAAATATTTCTAAAATAGGGAAAATATGTAGGAGGCTAGGCAAATAGTTATATGGGTCGACTTAGAATATACTTACGCCAGTACATTCTAAGTCTATGGTTATGTATATATATATATATGTGTATATGTGGTCACCCTTCTGACCTAGACCTAGACCTTCTGAGCCTATCCTTTCTTTAGGAATCTTCATTTTAAGTTCTTTTTCTTCACAATATGCTGATGCGTCACATTTTGAAGCCCTTGGGGGATTTTGACGACAGCTCAACCTAGCGGACAGTTGATGACGACAGCCACTCAAGTTCATAAGGCGCCCAAGCGATCAAAATAACTTGAGGTTTATATCGACATCAAAGCACTTGTTTCGTCGTTTTCTCTAATAGTTCACACGCGCGGACACTTAATTCGAAAAATCGCATCACTTTTACGAATCAAAATCCACTTCAAACCATTATTCAAGCGACAAAAGAGGAACGACAATCCGTCTACGGCCAAGTTCCCGCCAAAACTCTTCTTCGCAATAGTAAGTTCTCCACCATGGAGTATAGAGGTAAGGAGGACAATCTCCCATAGGAGAATAGTTGAAATAGTGTCCTTCTGTAAGCAGTAAATAACAGTTAAAAAACTCTCCACAACAGCGCTTGTGTAGTAGTAAGCTACAGGGTATGATAAATCGCCGTAAAATACGTTGAGAGTGATTATGAAAATAAAAATTTTGGAAGCAATAAAACAATTATTGTAAAAAGAATTATGGTGAAAGTCTGTGCAATAAAAAATATATAAAAGTATTTTAAAATTTAGACTGTATCTATAGTGGCGTTACCTATTTAGCGCTTTTCTACGGACACTTTTTTATACAGAGTCTGTACTCCTTACCTCTACGCTCTATACTCCACTAGCGGCTCTGTCAAGTGTCAACTGAACGGTAAAGTTGGTGGCACTATACTATGGTTGGATGGATGGATATGTATTTTACTGACAGCTGTCACAGAGATCAAGCTATCTTTTATGAACTATAGCGATGGGAGATTATTACTAAAAGTAATCGAATTAGTCTATTGTTCAGTTTAGTCGATAAAATTAGGTAACAATCCATGTTATTTAATTGTTATCGACTAACGATGTGTGGCGGGCGACAATAGCTGACACTGTTACTGTGTCAAATCTAACTACTAATTTGTAGCGCAGCGCACCTATTATACGTACTACTAAGTAGTTACAAATGGTGGTGTGGCGGGCGTGCGCTGCTCTAAGTCTGTACGCCACTACTTACGTTACGAGTTACGACTGCAGTAATTAGGTATGCGATTGGCGTTAATAAAAAATATAAAAATATACGTATTTACATTAAATACAGTTTGTTTTTAATGTAAATACGTATGTGCCTACACTAAAAAATTGGCTGACATCAATTAAAAGTTACGAAAGGGTGTGGCAAGTGTTACACAAAAAAATGTAGAAATCATGTGACCTCGGTATTTGAATTCAGATCCCATTGAAAACTTTTTTGGGCGAGTGAGGTCCTATATATTTCGTAATAATGATCCAACTTGCCACATTTTCATCAGTACTTTCAAATCTTTATTGATAACAGATCTCATTAAATTTCGTTCAGAAACCTATAATTGCGAAGATGATACTTGTTATCAGTTGATAAATGTGCAGTCTTTATTTAGAAAGCGATCTGAAGAGATAAACTGTAATACATCCAATATTAATCTGGATATTGGATGTATTGAAGGGAATCTTTCTACTGAAAATATTCAAGTGCAGGCAGCAAGGGAGCGATTAAATGTTCACTCAACAGCATATACCACTGGATGAGTTATAAAAAAATACTTAGCAAAATAAATTGCCAAGAATGTGAGGCCAATTTATGTACTAAAGTAGATGGTAATGTACGTAAATGGATATCACAAAGAGAATATAAAACAATTAAGCAAGGAAAGCTGACCTATCCCTCGGAATATGCTGGGAGGCATTTTAATTTAATAATAAAAGAAACAAATAGATACTTGGAATATTGTGCACACAAAGAAAACTTAAGCCAAGAAATCAAAAAAACATTTAAAAACCAAGTATCTATTTGAATTCATTAATTGTAAAACCAAAAAGACATTATAATTGAACATTTTCTAATGCTTTCTATTAAACTAAACATTTTCAACTGGTGCAACATAATTAATAGGATTCTGAGGGGCACGGACATAATTAGAATTGAAAAGCGTACATTGCCACCAATGCAAAAAAAAGCGTTGAACAAGTACAAGAAAAAGTTGAAAAATAAATCATATTATAAAAGTGTGGATACACTGCATTTTATTTCTACTAATTCTCCTTCTTCATAATAAAATAATGATAAAAAATTAGTAATTAAATGGCAAGAGTAAAACCAAATTATGCTTGGTTGAAATAAAATTATACCTGTGTCTACAGCCGATTTATATAAAAAAAAAACAAATGTCATATTCTAATTTGCTGTTCAAACTAGGGATGTTCGATGTTACAGAAACATCGATGATGACATCGATGTTGATATCGACAGCTTAACATCGATGTTCGATGTTTATCATACTCAAAACATCGATGTTGGCCATTATCGATGTTATAGCACATGTACCTATTTATTAGGTTAAAATTAGATGAACAAAAAATTAGTT